GTTGTGATTTTGTGGGATATTTTTGGGGTGATTTCGGTGTGTTTTTGGTGTGATTTTGGGGTATTTTGTTGTGATTTTGTGGGATATTTTTGGGGCGATTTTGGGGTATTTTGTTGTGATTTTGTGGGATATTTTTGGGGTGATTTCGGTGTGATTTCGGGGTGATTTCGGGGTGATTTCGGGGTGATTTCGGGGTGATTTTGTGGGATGTTTTTGGGGTGATTTCGGTGTGATTTCGGTGTGTTTGGCTGCATTTTGTGGGGCTGTCTCACCGTGGCGGGGCGAGGGGCTGCGGCTCTGGCGGCTGTACTGCCGCTCCCACTCCTCCCGCTCCTTCTCGCGCCGCTCCCGCTCCCTGCAGCAACAGCAACGTCACACACGGGGCAAAAAATGGGAAAACACGGGGAAAACACGGGGAAAACACGGGGGAAAAAATGGGAAAACACGGGGAAAACACGGGGAAAACACGGGGAAACAACGGGGAAAACACGGGGAAACAACGGGGGAACAACGGGGAAACAACGGGGAAAACACGGGGGAAACAACGGGGAAAAAATGGGAAAAAACGGGGAAAAAATCGGGGAAACAACGGGGGAAACACGGGGAAAACAACGGGGAAACAACGGGGAAACACGGGGGAAACACGGGGAGAAAACGGGGGAACAACGGGGAAAACACGGGGAAAACCGAGATCAGGGGTGGGAAATGATTTTGGGATCAGGAGGGATTTGGGATTTTGGGATCAGATTTTGGGATCAGGATCAGGAGGGATTTGGGATCAGGAGGGATTTGGGATCAGGATCAGGAGGGATTTGGGATCAGGAAGGAATTGGGATCAGGATCAGGAGGGATTTGGGATCAGGAGGGAATTGGGATCAGGATCAGGAGGGATTTGGGATCAGGATCAGGAGGGATTTGGGATCGGGATCAGGAGGGATTTGGGATCGGGATCAGGAGGGATTTGGGATCAGGATCAGGAGGGATTTGGGGATTTTGGGGTCAGATTTTGGGAATTACTTCATGCGGATTTTCCGGGCCATGGCTCGCAGCTCGTCCTCGCGCTCCTGCCAAAGGAGAAATTCCTGTCAGATCCCGGAATTCTGGGAATTCCAGCTCCTCTCCCGGCCCTTCCATCCCATTTCCATCCCAATTCCATCCCATTTTTATAATGTTTTCACCCCCATGAAATCTCATTTTTATCCCATTTAAATCCCAATTAAATCCCAGTTAAATCCCATTTCCATCCCATTTTTATCCTGGTTTTTTTCCCTATTTTTCCCTGTCCTTTTCTCATTTTTATCCCATTTTTCCCCCATTTTTATCCCATTTTCCCCCGTTTTTATCCCATTTTTTCCCCATTTTTATCCCATTTTTTCCCCATTTTTATCCCATTTTTTCCCCATTTTTATCCCATTTTTTTCTCCATTTTTATCCCAATTTTTTCCCATTCTTTCCCCATTTTTCATCCCATTTTTATCCCATTTTTCCCATTTTTTTATCCCATTTTTATCCCGTTTTTATCCCATTTTTCCCCCTCCCCACCTGTCTCTCATGCTCCTGCTGCAGCATCTTCTCCTGCGCCGCCTTCTTGTCGGCCTTGACTGGGAAAAACGGGAATTCAGGATTGGGAATTCCAGGGATTTGGGAATTCCAGGAATTGGGAATTCCAGGAATTGGGGAAATTCAGGGATTGGGGAAATCTGGGATTGGGGAAATTCAGGGATTGTGGAAATTCGGGAATTGGGAATTCTGGGGATTGGGAATTCCAGGGATTTGGGGAAATTTGGGACTGGAAATTCCAGGGATTGGGGAATTTGGGATTGGGGAATTCCAGGAATTGGGGAAATTCAGGAATTGGGGAATTCCAGGGATTGTAAATTCCGGGAATTGGGAATTCCAGGGATTTGGGGAAATTTGGGATTGGAGAATTCCGGGGATCTGGGGGAATTCCAGAGGAATTTGGGAGGATTCCAGAGGGATTTGGGGAATTTTGGAGGATTTGGGGGATCCCAAGGGGATTTTGATTTGGGAAATCCAAAGGGGATTTTAAGAAATTTTGGGCGGATTCTTGGGGGACTGGGGGGATATGGGGGAATTTTGGGGATCCCAGTGGAATTTTGAGAGGGATTTGGGAAACCCCAGAGGAATTTGGGGGGGATTTGGGGGGAATTTTGGGGATCTCAGTGGAATTTTGGGAGATTTGGGGGGGATTTTGGGGATCCCAAAGGAATTTTGAGGGGATTCTGAGGGATCCAAAGGGAATTTGGGGCGAATTCCAGGCGATTTTGAGGAAATTCTGTGAGATTTCATGGGAATTTTGCAGAATTTTGGGGGGATTCAGGGAAATGTGGTGATCCTGGCTGGGTTTTGGGGTGGAATTTTTGGGGAATTTTTTGGGAATTTTTGGGAATGCTCACACTGCCTGTTGAGAGCTTTCTGCATTCGGAGCCGCAGCTTCTCCTGCGGGGTCAGCTTGGGCTGCAAAAATCGGGAATTTGGGTCAGGAAAAGGGGCTGGGATCGGGAATGGGACCCCCAGGAACCCCCACCCCCCACCCCAAACCCTGATCCCACCAATCCCCATCCCATCCCGGGAATTTGGGAATGTGGGAGCAGGGAAATGTTGGGGGAAAAAAAAAAAAATCACAAAAATATGGGGAAAACTTAAGGAAATACGGGGGAAATGTGGGAAAAACGGGGAAAATAGAAAAAAAAATCTGGGGAAAATATTTTAAAAAATGGGAAAATCTGGGGAAATGCAGGAAAATCTGGGGGAATGCAGGGAAAGGAGCCCCTCAGAGATGATTTTTGCCCCAAAATTGCCCCAAAATGCCAGGAAAATGCCAGGAGAATCCCCCCCCTCCCACGTCCCCGAGGGGATCTTTGGGATTCCCTGGATCCCTCTGGGATTCCCTGGATCCGTGATCCCAAAGCTCGGCAGGAATTCCGTTAAAAACAAGGGGAAGTTCCAATTCTTACTGACTTTGGCAGCTCCGGAATCTTTACCAGCGGCAGCGTCGGCCCTGCGGGGAAAATCGGG